GCTTTTCGTTTTCATGGTCTGTTAAAGTTGTTGTTTTTGTTTTTGCGGAGAGCAGAGCAAAAATTTCGAAACGAAAAAAATGTTTGCTGAATTTATGGTATGAAGAAATTTTTAAACAAAAAATTTATATTGTCTAGCTGAAGTGGAAAATTGCTTTTGGGTGAAAATTATAACAATTTAAAATAATTGGGTTAAGCAATTAAAGGCAGGAATGAAAGTAAGTTTAGGAAATTGTTGTATTTTTATAAAGAAAGATTAAATTAGATATTAAAAAATAAAGTTGTGCCACGGAAAAAATTCTAAAAAAAGGGAGCTTTAAAAATTAAGATAGTAAACTATAAGAAAATTATGCAAGTCCATCATTAATCACAGAAAGAGTTCTCCAAGTACTTAAGCTGTCCAAACCCTTTCAAAAAATATTACCATATCAGCATAACAAATTCTCACATTTTCTTCGGCTTACGTTTTTACATAATAAATTACCAAAAAAATATATATGCATAATTAGAAAAGCCAACGAAAAAATGTTGTTGTTAGCCTAAGCGTACTTCCTGGTTCAATATGTAAAACGATGATACTCCCTTGTTATCCTCACCCTTCCCGGGATTCACTCACGCAAGGCATAATCAACAATGGGAATATGGCAACACATTCAACATCAACATCAACAATATCACGCACTAGTCATTAGCTTTGTCTGGATAAACAAACACACACAGCACACACTCCGGCTGCAAGTTGCAAGTTGCAGGCAAACCGAAGAAATGCAACACGTGCTGTGCATAAATAATAATAATAAAACTGAAACATACACAGAACTTGCGGGGGCGAGTTTTTCCCCAGAAGTATTTCCCTGAAGTTTTTCATTTTTCCAGCTGACCAACTCTATGGTTCGTTTTGTGGTGTGTTATTGACCCCCCCTAGTTCTTGAGGCGAGAAAGAAGTATACATTGAGAGAAATAATAATAATAATAATAGGTATTTTAGATATTCGTATATAAATAATTTATCTTAAAATAAAATCTTTCTTTATATGAATTTAGAATGAATTCACAGTTTATTTGAACTAATAAAACATTGTTTTAATTTTATTCAAAGACAAGTTATTGAATAAAACTCCAAAAAAGCTTACATAATATGGTTTCAAAATGAGTTATACCTAATTTAATAATAATAATTGTATCTGTTCCCAAAACATCCCGTTCTGAGTTCTTAAATGATTATATTATTCACTTTCTAGACATTTTTCTGTGATATTTCTCACTCTGCATATAGATTATGCATGCTCAAAGAGCCGCAGCAACCGCAAAGACAGAGACATTCGTTTGTTCGGTGCCATCCCGAATGAATTAGAAGTGGTGCCAGAGAGCCCAACCACTTGTTTCTGTCCAAAACCGACATGGCTTCAGAGCCTCAAAACTTCAGTTCCAAGCCAAAATTTCTTAATTCTTCGCAGCCTCGACTCTTTTGCATAATGTGTGTGATAAGCTTGGGGGATTTTCTGCTCTGACACAGATATTTTTTCGCCGGTATTTCAACTTCTTTTTAAGATACTTTCGCAAGCGGATGTGGCAGATACTTAAAACGGCATTCAAACTTTGCTTTACTCTGGCGCTGTCACGTTTATAAATACAGCCAGTAGATCAGATAGATCCCTCCCGGGATTTCATCTACACTGAATAAATCTCTTTGAAGTCCAATATTAAATTGAAGTCATTAAACTTGCAATTAAAACTTGTGTTATATACACATGTTATGAGTATTTTTATATTTGCCTGCCTGCCGGTTTCAGTTCATTAACTTCACACACAGCTGCCAAAATGCGAATTAGCGAAACCAATTGAAATAAATTTTTTATTAAAGCTTCTAGATGGAGCAGAGCGCAGCCAAGGTTAGTCGGGGGATTTCTCAGGTAGTTCCTCTCGCTGTAGAGAGAAGTGTGACCCATATCTGTCGGATTTTAAACTGTACTATATATATATATAGCAAATGCCGGTTTATAATTAGATGGAATTCACTTCACCCACTTTCGAGTGCACTTTAGTTTTTCGCCGCTGTTCCTCTATAGATCTTCCGCATAGTTTGTGGGCTGTCTAAACATTTTCCCTACCTTTCAGAGAGATAATTGTGAATCATTTGGACATATTTATTTGACACAAGTGGAGCATCTTCGATCAGCATTATAGAGGTGCTATTTTTGGTAGGACACATTCATAACCAGAAGTTTGGTTACGAATACGAATTTTTTCCTCCTTTTGCCTGACATTAATGAGCGTGTTAATCGGCCGACAAAAGGTGACTTATATGAATGTTTCTATATGCGATATATATTTTTGGAGGCGGTTTGAATGACTGAACGAACTGCCTTCACCCAAAGAGTTTTCTCCCCCTTCTCGCACTTAATTGAATTGTCTGTATTTTCGATCTTAATTAAAAGCCCCCGCGGGGCAGGGATAAAAGTTCAATGACTTCGTAATACACTTTTAATGATCGTGATTTGGAAAGGGCGTATACGAAATCAATTTTAGTATAGGCTTTCTGTTTACTTAATTGAAAACTATGCCTAGGGACAAACATAATCCCTTTTGAAGAGTTCTCTTGGGAATCAATCTCCATCCCTTTGGCGCGGCACAGTTTCTCTTAAGTTTTGTGCCCACTCTTGGGCCCCTTTTTGGGGAGGGTGAGCTTCTTGGAGCTTTTACGAATCAATCTTCTCGGAAAGTTTTTCCTTAGCCATAATCATCAGTCTAGCAAGCGCGAGTGCTCGTGGCGGATCGGGATCGCATCGGATCGGAACTTAGTACTACGAGTACACCTCTATATATCGCGCGAAATTGTACTTTTTGAAGTCTGTTTTATTTATAAGTTTTTTCCCAAATATTTCTCATTTTGCGAGTAGTAGTTTTTGGTTCGGTTTTTTTATTTTCGAGGATTTGCCATTTGAGTTTGGGGCATCTTATTTCGGTTTTGCAGCTGGAGTTGTCTGTGTTATTTATAGTTCTCCCCCAGAGATCCAATCGCACGTTTGATATGTGTGTTGGTTCCTATTGTTGTTTGTACGGCATTGCGTATGAGTGATTTGTTCTGGCCATCTCTTAGTCAGTCTGAAATTTTTACTGGCACATTGCCCGACATTACGCAGCTGTTTAGAACACCATAAATTTCCCCAACCCCTCAGAAGAAATTTGCTATGTAATTTACATAAATATAGTTTATATTATTATTATTATATTTTGGAGACAATTAACTAAAGCTAGAAGGGTAAAATGGTTTTTCCAGAAAGTCTAGACCAATTTCTTTCCGAAAAGCTACTTTGCAAAATCCCCGACTATCTATAGCTTCGAATTTTAGATAGAATTCAAAGGGATTTCTTTTTTTAATACAAAATTCTACGTGTGTTTCAGTCGACAAACAAAAAAAGACCTCACAAATTTGTTGGGAAAGTCTTACACATAGTTTTCCAAAACGTAAATCAAAGTTGACAAGTGATTCACGGAATGTGTGATGACTGCAAGACGACATGTGTTTTAGGAACTTGTTGAAATACGTTTAAAAAATATCTTCCACATTTTATTTTACGAGACTTTGAATGCATCTGGTAAATAGATATAGAACGGTCATGGAAATTTCGGAATATCTTTATTGATTCGACAATTTAAGCTAAGAAAGCGATCCAGATGGAACAATTGGGCTTTATTAGCCATATTTTTCAATGACAATCTCAAGTGAGCCGTGATACCAGATGCCAACCATATAGATATATCGAATGTCATTCGACACGAGCATAATCCTATGTTTCCACTCATTATTTGTTTACAAATACTTCGAGCAGCAAGTGTAACCCTTTTGGGATTGGGTCTTCTTCCTCATTTTCGCCCCAAAGAGATCAAGAGATCTCCTCCTCTGCCATTTGGAATGGCGTCAGCCGGCGGAAATGATGCCTCCAGATACCAAAATTAACCCAATTGCTCCGAGCTTTTTGGTATAAACAAATATTATATATATGTCGAATTTCACACGCAATTTGGTTTATTTTCGTTTAATATCCGCGCAAGAAAAAAAAAAAAAAAAAAAAAAAACCGAAACAAAAAAAGAAAACAAATTTGAAACTGAAATGGAAATTGAATTTGAATTGCAGGCCGTAAAATTTCATTAATTTAATTAGTTTTCTGCGTTTGTTTGCCGGGCTTTTCAATTGGCAAATGAGGGAATTTCAGATAAGATTAAATAGTTTCCGAGAAAAACGAAAAACAGGTTCTGATGGATCATAAGTAAATTTGCTCAATTGCTTCCAAGAGACCCAGTACAATACATCATGTATTATTTATAAGACTGATAAGAGCTTTTATCTAGAAATCTTGTCTCTAAGTACAACGCTAAGTATCCAAATTGTAAGGAAAATGAGCTGTTTCCGCTCTCGAAATTCACGTGGGAGCTATATGCAAATTCTCTTTTTGCAAAAAAAGCGCTGAGAGAAGAGAAACTTTAACCTGACAGGTTGACAGAGAGATTCAAGTTAGATGATCTTTTAGAGAACAACGACCCTCAATATATCAGATGGCGTTATATATATATGTTTCTGGTTGTCATGTAAATGTGTGAGCGACGTGAGGTCGTAAAACACTGAGACCTCGTGAACGTTAAAGGCCGACTGGATTGTGCTTATCTCGTTGCCTTTGGGACAAGTTAGCGCGGCATCTTATCAGGAGAGCAAATAAAACAAGCATTTATCTTGACTGGGGTATGAAAAATGAGAAAATATTTATATATAAAGAGGAATAGAGAGACAACTTGAGTTATAGTTGAGTTTAGTTAAGAAAATAAACCTAAGAGCTCAAATTTAAATACAAAAGAAAGGCTTCTAGGGAAGTTCTTCATGGGAACTGTATTCTTTAACAAATTATAATAATTATTCTTCATTGCATATTATATAATAAATATTCTTTAAAATAAACCATAAATAACAAAACTAAACTCATTTCTCTCCTTTATTTTTACAGACTGTCCAGACAACTTGGCGGCCACAACTGCCGCTTCCCCGGGAGCTTCAACTGACCGATGACCGGAACAACAGCACCGACGATCACGACTCGAAGGTGATCACCACCACAACTACAGCGGATATACACAGCCATAACCATCATCACCAGCACCTTATCCACAACCCAGAGGAGCAGGAGGATCAGGAAGAGGACATGGATCGACTGAGAGGCAATCACAGCAATCACAGCATTGGCGGATCATCGCAGCAGCTTTCCGGCAAACAGAAATGGTCTTTTGGAAGACTTTTCCGCAAAAAGAAGGAGGCGGAAAGTGCCTCCTCCAGCGAGGAGGATCGCAAGGCGGGTTTTGTGCCCGCCCAGCGTCAGTCAGCCAGCAAACCGAAGGCCAAGCATGGAAATAAGGGATCTTCGCGTAGCAGCAGCAACAGATTCGATCACATTGTGGTCAATCCACAGCAGGCGCCACCGCATCCGCCGCAGCCCATCGATAACGAGTTCTTCCTGCCCGTGGAAACCATACAGCCGGAACCGTACTACCAAAACCAGCCGGGATATTACCAGCGATCCAGCAACTCCCTGGACAGGAGACTGCTAATGCAACAACCGCAGGGAAATGGCTATCATCACCAACATAAATCCCGCTCCGCGCAGAGAGGAGGTGGTCCCAAGCCACTTGGAGTGGGCAACTCTAGTGGAGCAGAGGAGGAGCTGATATCGCTAAATTCTTCCACCTTCTCTAAGTACCGCAGCGATGAGAGCATTCATATGGGTTCCATGGCTCCAGGACAGAGTCGACGCAGTCGAGCAGCTCGCAACGAGCGTTACTACAAGAGATTATCCCGCGATGGGGAACAGAGTCATGGAGGAGCACCAGTCGTTGTCCCGCAACAGCATCACCAGCAACAGCAGCAGCGGTACAAGACGCAGCCCCTGCCCCTGTCCATTTACCAGCCAACGACGAACCCACCCGCCAGTGGCTATGTCCAGTGGCAGCCACAGAAAAACCTACAGAACTCGATGCAGAGCGATGGAAAGCGAAGCATCAGCTACGACAGTCACATACATTTGCAGAATTTGAGTGGAAGGATGCAGAGCAAACCCTTGCCGCCGCCACCACCGCCCAGGGATCCTCTGAGGCGTGTGCATGTGGGTGGATCGGGATCGGGTCTCCAGATCGGCTCCAGCTCTGGGGATCTGCGACCCGTGTCGTATGCCTTCGATCACAGCGGTCGCTGTGTGTCCGACGATCGCATTTGGCAGCCGCCGCACTATCAGTCGGTGCACTCGCTCAACTCCCAGCCCAGTTCCTCGATAGCCAGTGCTCCGGTCCAGCAGCCGCACCATCGACGCTTCATCACCCGTTCTGAGCGGAATGCCCATCCCGGCAAGCAATCCCTGCCGAATGGTATTGATTTCCATTATGTGGCCGATGCAACGCCTCGCTCAAGGAAGCCCATACACATGATGGATACGGGGAGACTGGATAACGAAAGGGGAGGAGGAGTACCAGCTTCCAGTGGTATACTGAGAACCTCCAAGAGTGGCCTAGCCACGCCCAGTCCCGCTCCTCAGCAGCAGCAACAGTCGCAGCCGCTTCTGACCAAGCCGCGTTCTTTTTCCAGCTCACGACTAAGCGAACTGAGGAGTTATCCCATGCCCATGTACTCCGAGGTGCAGAAGCCCAAGAGGAGTGTTCCTCCACCTGTAAATACTTCTCCAAGTGACCAGGATAACAACATAATTTGCGGTAGCCTGCACATCAAGCCTAGTTTGGAGTCTGGTCAGAATCAGAACTATGTAGAGATTCGTCATCGCGATGTCCACAAGACCAACTCCATGCCACATCACTATCAGAACAGGAGATCTGGCGAGGATTTGCCCAACAAGTACGAGGAGTATGTGGCCGAGAAGCGAGAGCAGCATCAGCAGGCACCGGCTACTGTCTATCCGGAGCGTAAACTGAGCTGCACTCCCGCCACAGCTCCACCACCGCCCGTGTACTTCCCTCGGAAAAAGCCAGCCAATCTGGAGGAGGCCATCAACGAACTGGAGGCCATCTACAAGTCACTGGGACTTACAGAACCAGCTGAACCCAAGGCGGAACCCAAGCTGGATATGATCTCGAAGATGCGAGTGCCCACGCCCAGTGACTTTGAGAAGTTCGCCTTGGCGCATGCCGATGAGTACGAGGACGAAGATTCACCGACTGGCGAACCCGATCCCGTTAGAGACGATGTGGCCTTTAGGAACCTGCAGCTTGCCAATCTCCAGCATCGATCCTCGGAGAAGCAGCCACCTTTTGGCATCCCAGTGGGTCCCATTGTGCCTGCTCCCCAATCTGACTATCTCCACGTGGAGCCTGTGAGGGTCAAAAAGAAGACCAACTCCCCGGACATTGTTAAGGATGATCTGGCTGTGCGTGCCCTGCGCAAGGATCCGCCGGGACCCAAGTCCAGCTTTGTGTATCCCATGCAGAAAAAGCAGCGGGCTACAAGGACGCAGTCGGCCAACATTTACAACCTGATCCAAAGGGATGCAGCGAAACCATCTGGCGGAGATCTAAATAGTTACATTGAGCTGACGCGGAACTTGGAGAGATCCGGCAGCATGTCCAATCTTCAGGGTGAAGCGGATGATGTACCAGCCACACTGGACTTATTGCGCAAGCTTAAGGCGCAGGATGAGGAGCTGGATCTGGCCAGGAAGCATCATCCCATACCCTTCCGTCATCCCAGTCAGGGTGGAGCAATCGCCCAGCTGCCAGAGCGTCTCCTGACCAAAGAAGATCATCAGTCACCGCGAGCGGCGCCAGTGCCAGCTCCTCGTAAGAGTCTTTCGCCGGAACCGACTATGATGGATGATGCTCTCAACAAGATTGCCCAGGATGCGCAGGCCAGCAGCATTAAGCTGAGCCACGAACTCAACGAACTCCGCAAGGAGGCATTGATTACGGCTGCGAGACCCAAGTTAAATGCGGAGCAGCAGAGATTGGAGGAGGAACTGCAGCAAATCGAGGCAGTTTCTGAGGCGGCCAAGCGCTGTGGCCAGATGCTGTTGGACACGCTGCCCGATGCAGGCCAAGAGGAGGATCAGGAGCCACAAGAGAAGCCACCGCGGAAGCTGCATAAGGAGGGCAAGCTCATCCGGGCTATTGACGAAGTCTCCGAGGCGGCCAATGCCGTTTGCGAGAAGATACTCAAGGATATTGTGACCACTGAGCCTCCAGTGATTGTCCACGAGGCTCTCCAGGTGAAGCAGACCACCAAAACTCTGCCCAGCGGAGAGCAGCTCGTGATGCCGCATCTCATCAAGAAACTGGATCCCATACAGTCGGACAAGATCGAGCATATAGCCAGGCGCTGCATGCGCCAGCTGAGCGAACTGGCCAATCCGGACTACGACAACCTGGTGGACACCTGTAATATGACCAACAGCCACATCACCAACGCGCCGGGTGATGCCACTCTCGTTTGTCCCGTTCCAGAGAATCGCGCCGCCGGCAAGAGCCAGACGCTCGAGGAGATTGACAAGATCATGCAGGAGTGCGAGCGCCAGGCCAAGGGCAGTAGCTCCACGGGATCAGGATCGATTTCGACCCCCAATACCACCCATACCACTGATGATCAGCGCACGACCGCTCCCAGTTTGACCAGCGGCAGTGGAAGCGGCAGCGGAAGCTTCCCACCAAATGTGAGCACCACCGCCAGTTCGTTCAGCTCGAGCAGCGATTGTTTGGCCAAGTCGTCGAGCCCTTCGCGCGCCAGCCGACCGCTCTCCTCGAGCATCACCTCCTTCAATCCGTACTCCTCCAGCGACTATATCAAGTCGCAGAGCAGCGACTGCCATGCACCCAGCACCGATCCGATCAAGACCTTCAGCACCACCTCGTACGAGGGCCAGTCCACACCGCAGAGCACCACCATCAGCACGGACACGATGAGCACGACGATCAGTAGTAACACCACTAATAATCTCAGCAGTCAGCAGGAGTCCTCATCGCATCCAACCGCCTCGGGTGGTGGATCATTATCGCCGCCGCCGCTGCAGCTGACGCCGGTGGGCGAGCGTAGGAAGCGTGGAGCTTCATGCTCCTCCGCCACCTCATCGCCGTCACAGTACAACTCCAGCGAGGAGCTGGCCGCCATCTTTGGCATCGAAGAGCATCCGAAGCATCGTAGCGGCAGCAGGCTAACGACAAACGTCACAGGTAACGGAGACGATCCCAACGCCACCGAGGCCCCGAATCCGAGTTCGCCTGAATCCGAATCTGCTGCCACTGCCACTGCCACTGCTACTGCTACTAATCCCGCCCAGCTCGATCCAGCTAATAGCGCTACTAACCCCGTTTTGAATGTTCAACTTGATGTTACTACTAGCAACTCCAACACCCATACCCATCCAACCTCTAACGATAGTGCTAGCTCCTGTAGTAGCCATAGTTATAAGCTAGAGACGATCCCGGAACAGGAGCAGGAGGAGTCCAGCTCGTTGAAGTTGTCGCCGAATTTTAATCGGATTTATGCCAGCCAAATTCGCATTGTTATGGATCGAGATAATGATGCAGATGCCGAGGAAGAGGGAGAGGCGTGTCTACTGCCCGAAGGTAGTTCCAATCCCGGTCTAACCCAGTTCGATTCGTTGAGTTCGCTGGAAGAGACATCTTCTAATCCGGATTCGGGTAATGTCAGCCTCACAGATTACCCTTTGGTTCCCAGTCATGCGAATGCTTCGTTGGAATTGCAAACCAGCTACAATAGTCGCTTTGAGGTCAGGGAGCACTACGTTTCTGAGGTCTCGATCAGTGCCTCGGAGTCCACGGATGACGAGCAGACAGATACCGAGTGTGTGGAGATTCCACTTTCTATTAGGGAAGAAGACTTTCCTCCACTTCCCACCGAAGAAGAGCTGGAGGAGAGTCTAAGGGAAGAGCTAGAACTGAACGTAACTTTAGATGAAGGTAGTTCTGGGATTGCTAGGCAGAGTAGTGAGGATACAGTTGATGAAGAGTCTCTCGGGGCAGAAGAATCAGAACTAAAACTTAACGAAACTGTTAGTCTTAGCGAAGAGGTGTACAATCTAACCACTGAGTCCTTGCTTCGCTACACTTCCAGCGAAATAACTGATACTAGTATTGCCACCATAGAAGTTAATGAAAGCTTGCTTGAAGTCTCCGCCTTTGACGAATTAGATTTTGGACTTGACGAATCTGAATTAATAGGAAGAATGCTAGAGGCTTCCTTTGATGAGCTAGATGAGTTGGATATTAGTGAAATTCCTAGGGAAGAATCGGAACTAGAAGAAACTTCATTGAATGGTTTGGAGAGCATAAATCTAGACGAAACAGAATTTGAGAGAACAGAGCTTGACGAAAGCCAACTGAATGAAAGTCCTTTAAACGAAACTTCTTTAAACGGTTTAGTAAGCTTAGTACTTGACGCATCCCAATTTGACGAAAGTAAACTTAACGAAACCTCATTTGATCAGTTGAATGAACTGGAAGCGGACGAATGCGACTCGGTTATGCCAATCTCCCGTCGCAAGAGCATCGTTTACGAGACCCCTGCCCTCAACCTGAGCATTTCCGAGGTGAAATTGAATTACGAAACCCAAGTGGCCGAGGAGGAATTGAAACCAGAACGAAAACAAGAAAAAGAAGGAGAAGCCGCCACCGAATCGAATAAGGAAGTGGATGATGATGATGATGATGATGAGGATACTTTAGCACGTAATGAGGCAGGCCAGGGCAGTGGCAGTGGCAGTAGCAGCGATGTAACTGAGACGCAGATACATTGTCGCAAAGGACTTCCGGCGAGGGAAGCTCCTCCAGCTAATGATGATAATAACAATGCTGCTGATGATGAACAGCCAACGACCAGCTCCAAGGCACTGTCCGTTTTTGGTGAGGTGCGAGAGGTGCAAAGGCTTGGAGCACCTGTAGATGCAGCGGCGGCGGCGGCGGCTGGAGCAACCCGCGGCGGTTGGACCACTCTCGAGCACGTTTTTGTCGCCTGCACTGTGGGCCTGATTACGCCGAACGATTTGCTCACTTTGTGCCTGATCGTAATTGGTGTGATTATCATTATTGCAATTGCGCTCGCCTGAGAGTGTACCTGCTGCGGCTCTGCTGCCTGTTATTGTTTGTAATTGTAATTATGAGGAGAAAACCGTGAAGCGGTGAAGAGAATTATTATGTATGATTTTCCTATAACATTTCTTCGTCGATTTAGCAGCCACCAAGTGCACTTAAAAAGTTTCCATTTACAGTAATTAGTCATTAGGCAATGGAATATTATTGTATATGTATGTAAATTATGATTAATTTAGCTATTATTTCCAGAAGAACCAAAAGTATTCGCAATTTCTATGTTATATTAAGTGCAATTATGTTACGAACCATCTGTTAATTTTTTTTGTATTCCATTCATCAATGCTCTCTCTATAAAAAAGCAAATTCTTTAACACAGTGTTCTCCTATTTAATTTCTTAATTAATTGTTAATTTGACTGCAACTTGTGCCAATGATTTTTATACGTTTATCTAATTATGCCCATAATAATTAATCAATTTAATTATTTAACCACAATATGTACTATTCCCCTATAGTGTTTAAGCACATCAAAAAATACGAGAACAATATTCGAAAATGAAAAAGATATTTACATTTACAATTACCGCAAAATACTAATGATGAAATATATATTTTCTAAAATCTCTTTGTATATTTTCAGCTCGAAATTTAATAGTTTAAGTTTGACAGCGAACTCAACTCGTTTCTTACGTAGCATTCATTAATTATTTCGCATATATAATTTAAATGTTTATATAATTTACAAGACACATATATGGATTAATTGCAGAAGCCATGAAGCGAATAAAGCGTATAATATGATTAATAAAAATGTTACTTAAAAACCTATACGATTATTTCAACGTTTTTTCCTTTTTGTTTTCTTCTCTTCGTAAATGTTGTTGTTGCTTTTTGTGTGTGTTTTTATATTTTTTTATTATTATTATTATTTTGACTAACCTTTTTCGAAATAAAAATATCAAAATTATTTCCCTAAAACCCAAAAATCGATTTATTACGTCATACCTGTTGTTCTTGTTGCTAATGTTGCCACCGCTAAAATATGGAATATTTCTTATATATATTTATATTATCTGCTTTTATATTTTCTGCTTTTACAGGTATTTTTAAACTAAAATTGTAATATTCTACAAAATGATTAAAACAGAAAATGTGTTTGGGTTGGTGTCTTGACTGAAGCTCTTGTTGTTGAAAGTGTTGAAAGCTTTTTAGGTGGCGGTAAAAGCTGTGGTGTGTCATTGGTGTAAAATTAATGTAGAGTTGGTTATTAAATATTATTTTTAAAATATAAGTTTAACATCTAAAAGATGTCAGTAACATTTTAAACTAAAAACCTTTTTTATAAATAGATTTTTTATTAAAAAAAAAACCCCTATACGTTTACGTATTTAAAAGAAAATTCATATTATTTTTTTTAGAAACCTTATTCAGAAGTGGTAAACATTTTTTCATTGAAAAAACCCAAAAATTCCTTGTCTTCAAATTTAAACTCAATACAGAAATACAGAGAAAACTTTTTAGTAAGAGCCCAAAACCGTAAAAACTTGTTTAACTTAAACTTAGTTGACAAAGTGGCAAAAACAAATAAAAAGGTTCAACATTTTTTGGAGGCTCTATTTAGAAAGAAAAAAAACGTGTATGTGTCTGATGTATTTGCGTTGCTGAGATTCTGTTTACGATTTGTCTGGCTCGGCGGGTCACAGACTTGGGGTCCCTCAAAGGTATTTATTTATTTTCCTTCGAAATAGCAAAAGAAAAGAGCTTAAAGCTAAAAGTCGTCTTACGTTGGCCAAAGGGAAAAAGGGAAAGTCGTGGCCTCATAATGGAACCAATTTCAAGGAGCTGCTGAAACTTTTCTTGTTGCTCCTTTGCCGTCGTCGCCGAGTTCATGTTGTGGCATAAAAAGGACATTCAACTGCAGGTCGGTCGTCCTGGTTTTCTTATTGTTTTCTGTCGCTTTTTTTTTTTTTTTCCTTTTCACCATAATTATGTTTTGGCCTTTTTTGCCTAATGAGGCGTACAATTTCCATGGAAGAGGTAATCTAAGCTAGGAACCCAGGGAATATTGATATATATATTTCTCCTAACTCCCTCCTGTCTAAAATCTGCCTTCCCTTTTAAATCTCTGACTTTTATTTCCATCAGTTTTTTTATTCCCGGGAATCTTCGATTCGTTTGTCGCCAAGGGATTTTCCAGCAAGATTTATGTTGCGAGTGCCTTGATTGTAATTGAAAATTGGCTTCGTGTTTGCTTTAAACTTTAAGCTAAGGAAATGTCCCTTTTTTGTCACAAAGAGTTCATTTACCTTGCCAGCCGAGCATTGCTCTCCTTTCGCACACACACACATACACAATGGCCAGCACACCAGGCTAAATAGCAATAAAAATGTCACCCGGCTCTAATTTGTTTTTTGTCTACGCCGCCAGGACTTGGCTTGCCTTGCCTTGCCTCGCTCCAAGGACCTCCTCCGTAGCTCCATAAATAAACCAAACAACCGCACGACAGTCTGTGTGTGTGTGTATGCATAGTCCCGGAGTTCCTTTTCTGCATGTGTTCGCCCTCCTACTGCTTCTATCACTGAAATAATCATAACTCACTTAACCCCATTAAATTGAGCCTGGGAAGTCGTAGCAAACCGAGTAGGGAAGCCCCACAAAAGACCTAGGGGGCGTATGAGCGATATTCACTTGGAGGAGGCGACGAAGGAGGCGGATGTGGGGCGTGTCCAAGTGGGTAACGCATCATTGACAACGACAAGAACCTTTTGTGGGGCCCAGCAACACTGCCTGATAATTACTATCGGGGCAAGACAACAGTCAGGCAGTGGCAGCAAGCGACGGGCGTTCCCCTTTTCGGCGTTACTCATACGCCACATGGTACACCGCAAAATTCAATTGATGTGTATGTATGTAGACACAGTTAGGGAAAAATTCAATATCAATATTTTTTTATATAACGTGTCTACTAAATATTTTCCCTTGATATTTATTTATTTCTTTAAAATGAGTATTAAAGGTGAAAACCCCAAATAAATAAGAAGTCTTCATCTGCTGAGTTTTTGTAAGAAACTGATTTTATTCCATTCAAACCCTAGCTTATATAGTTAACATGAGAATGT